TTTGTCATGTGTCAATACATATTTTTATGTAGCATTTCAATCTCTACATCTTTTTAGAATTATTATAATCTATGGTTTAAAATATTTTTCAATTGATTTTTAAACATTCATTTATAGTTATATATTTATATATACTTATATAACTTAAAATTTAAACTATATTAATATAGTTCCTAAAATAAATTTAATAATTTTTTAAAATTAAATAATTTTTTAATAATCGAATCATTATTATTTCTCGATAATTCTCGATATAATAATTTATAGCACATTATATTAAAAATCTAAAAAAATCTTTTTGTATTGGTTGTAATTTCTTTGATTCTAATTATTCAATATTGAGTCTTATCACATATAGTATTTGAACAACGATTGAATTGATGCGAATACGCGCATTACCATAAGCTCCTTTGTATATACATACGTTGATCGATAGTTGCTCGTAAAAATCAGATTTATTCAATAATTCAATATATAATATATGAAGCTATTTTGTTTTATTTTTTCAATCAAACTATTTGTCGTTTCGAATTAAATGCTTGTATTGAATATATTCGAAGAGTAAACCAAATTCGGCGATATTGATCTATTTCCATATTCTCAATATCGAAATAATACATCGTTTTTTAAATAAACGAAAAACTTAAAAAGAATATAACATTTGAACTTGTTTTTTATTTTTTCAATTGTTTATTGCTATCTAAAACAATTGAGATAAAAAATATATATTACATCTGGAAAAAATCTTAAATTTTTTATCAAATATGAAAAATAAAATCAAACAAAAAAGAAAAAAATTATTACTTCTAAAATAAATTATTTCTATAAGATTTGAAAATGACAAAACAGTTAGGGGTTAGAAGAGATGGGGGTGAGCAACTGAAAATGGTGACCAAGGAAGAAGGGCGGGTCGGTTGCAGGGGTTGCGCGCGCCTCCGCAGATCAATATTTCATTTTAGCTTCGCCAACCGGGGGAGCGGGTAGTTAGAGACAAAGACTATCTACCTATTTTTTTGCGCTCGTCTTTCGATACAACTATTATATTTCATTATAATTACTACTTTCTTCACTCATTGATGCGAATCTTCTCTATTCGTTTCTTCTTCCTTATTGAGTGAAGTTCGTTTTGATAGAAATGTATCCTTTCTAAATCATTTTTCTTTCTTATTTTTCTTCTTGGTTTTCTTTTCTTTTTTTACTTTATTTCTTCCTTTATTCAAATTAATTAAATAGTAGAAATCTTATAATCAATGCAAATGATAAATGAAGCGAATAAATTTTGAAGAAAGTTTCAAAATTTCGTTGTTAATACACAGTTTAGAATTAAAATTATTATCTATAAATCTATTATTATCTATAAAATAAATGTAACTTAATTAAAACGATCAATCAATAGTTTTATATAGTTGTAATTAATAAATATATTATATAATTTCCAAATGATTCACCGGCAAAAACTGTATATCACGTGACTATGCACGTGTTTTACGTTTCATTAAGAATTCAATTTTTACATCAATTTTCATTGTTTATATTTTATTTATATTTTAGTGAAATCAAATGATATCTATTACTTGATATTTTTAATTTTGTTTTATAATAATGTATGAAAAAAGTTTTATAATAATGTATAATAATAAAAAATTTAAAATATTTAATATTTAAAATTCTATCATATTTTTTGAGAGAACTATGGAAGAAAAATGTTTTATAAAAGATATTAAGATAATTAAGAAAAAATGAAAATTTAAATTAAGAAAATGAAGAAAGAAAGAAATGCTTGCCTAATTGACTTAATTCAGAAATGATTAGAACAAGATCACATGGAAAGATTCGTTTGCAGGGAAAAAGGAAGGATAATATATAGTAGGAAGAAAGAAAAAAAAAAAGGACAGTGCATATAAAAGACATGGAAAGTGTGAGAGGCATAAGCATAATATACAACGCACTTTTGCGTTGCGTTACGCAGTCCAATACGACGCATCATATTCCGTGGTTGGCGTCCCGGGACAGGGACAGCCGTGCGGCACTGCCCCACCCAACCTCTTCGAGCCGGCCATGCTGGGCGAACCGATCAATACTTCGGCTCGGCCACGAGGTAAACCGAGAGAAACCGACTTGAGACGACTAGAACCGAACGAAGACGAGTCCCAGCACGAGGCACGCCGAGTCCCCACCACGAGCAGCGTTGCCGGCTCAGTCGTTGTGCGGGAGTGGTCACTGAGGGATGTGTGGTACCGTAACTGAGTGTGACTGAGGAAAAAGACCCGGCGTAGTTTCTCCGCGTAATACGCTCTCGCTCTTTATCCCCCAGACAAAAAAGAACTAGAAGTCTAGTCAATTTTCGGCCCCCTTCCTAATTTCGCGTGAAATTACGGGATACGCTGATCGTATATTTATTTAAGTATTTATTGTACAAAAAACTTTAACTATAGGTAAGATTTCTGCAACAATTCGTTGCTTTGCTTCTATTTTATGCGTCTGCTTTAATGACGCTTTATCTATTTCGAGTTTCTCTCGATTCTTAAATCTTCCTTTTCTCTCTCTCTCTCTCTGTTTTTCTATCTATCTATCTATCTATGTATCTCTATCTTTATCTATCTATCTTCCCTTCCCTTCCCTTCCCCCCCCCCTTTCTTCTTCCAGTTCACCTTCCAGTTTCCGTAGTTGTTCTTTCTATGTCTTTGCATGTCACATAAATGATCATTTTCGTATTTTTTTATTTAACTATTTTCTAGAACATTAATATGTCGAGAATGTGCTAGAAATTTTGTTTCGATATCGCGTTTTTCTATAATCAGACCGAGAAGAAGAGTGAATTGGTTATCGATTTCTGCGGTATTATATTGCGACGCAGAAATGAATCGGTATAGTTTCCGCGATGACGCCAATTACTTTTTCACCGAAGTAAGGTGTTCCTGTTCCTGTTCCTGGTTTCTTTGTCCTCGGATTGTTCTTGTCCATATCGCGACATGAACGGTTTAGAACGCTTCGGGGTCAGGGCGTGTTAAGCAGGAGAGAGAAAGAAGGAAAGAGAGCGAACGTAGATGAAGAATTTCGCTCTCGCCGTGGCGCTCCGTTTGACTGCTCCCTCTTCGGCTCAACTATGCGACTACGAATATAACCTCAAATCGTACTTGATAAATGTACGCAATTTTTTTTTATTTCGAAGTGTTTCGCGCATGTGACCTTCGGCCTAATACGAGCTTTACTCCTCACCTCCCACGGAAGCTTCCACTTTACGTGTCTAAATTAAATATTTTCGCTTTTTGATTGTATTTGAGTTATAAAGTCGATATTAATTTTTTTTTAGAGTTTCTATTATTTATTTATTATAATTTTGGTAAGATATTTTTTAATTGAAATACCAAAACTAATAATTAAAAAATAAGCAAAGAATGTTGAAAAAAAAGTATTTTATCGTAGAAAGTATAATATAATGTAATATAGATATATATAGATAAATCAAAGCCTGATAAAATTTTTATTTTTATCAATGTAATAAGGATGTCACATTTTTTTAGATACATGCGACATCTTTATCTTTAACTATTTTCATTTCGATAATTTCAGTTATCAAATCGTTTGAAGTAATCATGTTTTCTAATAATTTTGTTTCTCGATACAATTTATTTTATTTATATAATTTTTAAGATAATTTTAATCAATTATAGTAATTACATTGTAGTAATTTTTTTATCATTATCATATTTGTAGTTAATAATGATGAAGTACAAAATGTGTAATAGTGGAAAGTCAATGTAATATTTCAAAAAAGAAAAATAGATGTGTAAGGAAACTTAAAAAGAAAAAAATGATCTATTTTGAAATAAGTAATAAGCAAAGATTTTAATATACTAAAATCATGTGAATATTTATTATGATAATTACATACGTAGGAAAAGCTTTGAGGTTAACTTAAGTATTTGTGTTTCGTCATATTCCATTCGCTTGAAAAATTTGCGCCGGAAATATTTCACTGGCAACATGGGATTTCTCATCGATTCTCTTGTAGATCCGGCAACAGTGTCGCTGAGCCTCTGCTAACCTAAAGCCAGGTGATTGCGCGCGATTAAATATAGGACGTCGAATACACCTACCGGTTTAATATTTCCGTCCGGGTTTCTTCGAAGAAGAATTTGGCTACTTGACCTTCCATCTGATCTACATAAATCATATTTATCGTGATTGAATAATCGTGCAATGATAAGTATTATATGAAATAATACAAAATTTTCAAGAAATCAATATATGGTCACATTGTATTTTACTCAATATCAGTTACATCAATATATATCATTTATTCGATATATTTAATTGAATCTCAATCAATTAATAAGCTCACGATTGAATAAAATTATATTGAATATTCGCATATCAATATGATTTTCAGCGAGAGCGCATATCTCATTATAATCTACGATTAATCTTAGATATTACGTGAACAGCATATTTTTTTATTAGTTCTTCTATCCTCCATAGATCTTATCCGACATTATTTTGTATTAGTCTGTATTGAATGTCACAATTTGAAAATATATGAAAATCGTATCTATTTTTTGTTTATTATTAAAAGAAATAAAAAATTCTTTTTTTTTGATGTTCTTAAAGATTCTATTGAATCAAACAATTGTGACAATAACAATACATAATCAATTTTTTCTATACAATTAGCATTGTAAACATTTTTATACATTCGAAAATTTATATATACATATATTAGAATTAATCGCTTGGAAGAACTTTACATCTGCGTAATAATATGTATGTTTATCAATTCATACGTAAAACACCGTTGTTCGTTGCCACTGTAAGTAGCACAGTATATAGATATTTTATTCGAAGAATTAATAACGGACACACATATCGTACACACATTAGATCGATCGTTGCGTTCCAGCTTTTAAAATACTCACCTTGAACACCAACGATTGACGCTATAACAGTGTTTCGACATTTTAACAAGCAATATATATCTTTCAACAAGTTTCAAACGCATACAATTGATCGGTATTACATATAGTATAAAATAAGTTTTATTTTTTTATGACAATTTGAAGTTTTTTATAATGTTGTTTGAAGTAAAATGACCCATAGTCATATTGTGTGAAGAAAAATTACTATATAGAATTGTTTTGTTTGATCAATATCGTTTTTCGCTTACATTTAATTTGATAGTTCAATAATCAATGATGAAACGATTCTGCATTATGATTAATCTATTTTGCATAATGTGGAAAATTATTTCTTTCGTCTAGACTGATTCTCTTTAGATTTCAAGATTTCGAAATGAATTGAACGGAGTTTGCGCGCTATTTGCGTACGAGAAAGAAAGGAGGATGATCGATACGAAAAGGAATGGAAAACGATTCTGCGTAAAGTCAAATGAAACGTAAGACATTCATGGAAAATGCTTGTGAATAGTATTCGCATTTGGTGTATAATCGCGATTTGTTACTTCTTGAACCAATTTTAATTATCATGTGTGTATGTTAATGTATATAACATTTAGTTACGTCGCAATGTTCTCGTCATTGTGACTCATTGGGGAAGAATTGGGCGCCATAACGTAAGAATTTGATATCGTGTATTCTGTTCAGATATTTTTTGATTATGCTCCATTATCTTTAATGTTTTATAAATTAACATTCAAACTATCGAATTTGAAAATAATGAAATAAAATACATAAAAGTACGAAAACGAAACTCTGAGAAGTGTGCGCGCACGGTCGACGAACGTGAAGCGTGTGTTAAAAGAAGTCGAGATGTTTAAACGTATGCCTACTACGGTTTGGCGTTGTAACGCGGTCCAATCCAGTGACTCATCGCTGCTATATGATTATATCTACGTAAATAAAGATCATAGTGTATTAGGAATCGTGTTCTTTTTATATTTGTAATTTGGAATGATCATTTTATATAAAATTTTAATTGTTATTAAAATTATTTTTTTCCCTTCAATTTTCTAAATAAAATTCTAATTAAATATGACTAAATATAAATTCGAATAAAAAAGAATGAAAAAAATTAGATAAGTGATTAAATGAAAAATATCAAAAGAATTAACTAAAAATTCTAGTTTTTAATAGAATAGTTTTATATATTTTTTTAATACAATTAATTGATCATAAAAGGAAAAAATTATAAAAAATATATTATCAATGAAATGTATTCGATTTTTGATTCTATTGATCTTCGGAAAGTAAAAATTTTTTATTCAATGTTAAAAATGCACGACGTTCATGATCAAGGTCGGCAAAGGCTAAACTTCTCTTTCGGGTAAATCTATTGTCAATGATCGTTAGGTGGTCATACGAGATAAAAGAAAATATTTCTGATTGCACTTTAATAGAAATCTTTGGGAAAAGAAATTCTTTTCGTAGATTCTAGAATAAAGAATATAATAATTTGCTAATACTTATGATGCTATGTGCGAACGAGGCCAGTTAGGTTGGACAACGCGTGTGCAGCTCGTGTACTTATATACGTCATCTTGTGTTCTAAACGCGTCGGTGAAATCTATTCTCACACGCGTACCAGCGACTCCCGGATAGACGAGAAAAGGAACTTGACGACATTGAAGTCGCGTGTTAATTCAACTGTGTTGCACCGTTACATTTGTATTACATGTGCGTTACGCTTCTCTCTTCCTTTTTCCTTCTCCTTTCGGATTTAAAACAATTTCTTTTTATATTTTCCGAATTTATTACGAATTATTACGAATTAAATTTTCTGTGATTATATGTCGAATATATATACACACAATACATTCGAGATTTTTGTTTTTTAGCCAACAGAATGTCTGTGGACAAAGAAGAATTGGTACAGCGTGCAAAGCTTGCCGAGCAGGCAGAAAGGTATGATGATATGGCAGCCGCAATGAAGGCAGTCACCGAAACGGGAGTCGAGTTATCGAACGAAGAAAGGAACTTGTTGTCGGTAGCATACAAGAATGTCGTTGGCGCAAGACGTAGCTCGTGGCGAGTAATTTCCTCCATTGAGCAGAAAACTGAAGGTTCCGAGCGTAAACAGCAAATGGCCAAGGAATACCGGGAAAAGGTCGAGAAGGAGCTACGTGAAATCTGTTACGATGTATTGGTAAGAATTTATTTTTATTTCTTTATTGTTACAATTTTGACCATATATAAATAAAAAAATAACGAATTTATATATATTTTTCCTTTTCGTCATTGGAAAGTCGATCACTCGAACATGCATACGATCGATTACGATATGTAGATATCTTGAAACATTTTGACATGATGGATTTAATGTGTTTGCAAAACAGTTGTTGTCTTTATCAACTGATTATCTTACACCGAACGATCCTTTTTATCGCGTTTGCATATTTCTATGGTTGAAGAATAAAAATCACTCATTGGTTTGAATTTCACATGACTTGGTTACCACTCGCATCGTCTAGTAGCTCGTCTTACTATCCTTTCCCATCGTTTAGCAAGCGTAACAAAGTTTATTCCAGCACTTCTAAGAGAATATCTTTCTGAATCAGGATTAATCTGAAGTGTCTAAATCGAATTGATTTAAGTAAAACAAGTGTATGACAACAAATGCAAATGATATTGATTTTGGAAAATGGAAAAAGATTATAAGACATTTAGCATTCTATCTATTCACATATTTATATATAATATTTACATTTATATTTCTATTCTATTTCTATTTTATCTTTGTCTTGCGCTACATAAGTGACAAAAATTAATAAAAAAACAGAAACTAATTATGTCTTCATGTTACAGGGACTCCTTGATAAGTACCTGATCCCCAAGGCTAGTAATGCCGAGAGTAAAGTATTCTACCTCAAGATGAAAGGCGACTACTACAGGTATCTCGCAGAAGTTGCTACCGGAGAAACTAGAAATGGTATGTATTTAATAACACATAATATTAATAACGCTTTCACAATTACAAATTTTACGGATCCTGATTAATAATCATTTATAGCTGAAATTAATTCTTCATCGACAATCTTAAGAAAGGATTGATACAATCCAGGGAATTTGTTTCTCTTTTCTTTTTTTATTTTGCATCACTATATCTTATCAAGATATAAAACCAGTAGAAGATATTTTTGTCTATAATGTGACATTGAATTCGTACGAGAGGATCAATGTGCGTTTTTCTTCGAATAGAAAGCTATCGCACAATACTTTCGTACCTGCGTTCGTTCCCGTAGCTATAGTTCAGAAAAAAAGGAAGCACAGCTGCAATGGCAGATGTTCTTTGCTGAATCTACTGTTCTGTTACATTCTTAGATTCGAAAAGGTTTGAAAAATTCCAAGATTGTTCATCATATATCAGACTATTTTTATATAGTGATATATTTGAACAGAAAAATAATTCTAAAGCGTTGATGGAATTTAATGCCATGTATTTTTCTCGATAATGACAAAGAATGTTATTTATATGTTTATTAATTTCGTTGCATTTTTGTAAGTTTGATTCATACAATAATATGCAAGTATTCTTTTAAAAGATTAGATTGAAACTTATTATTGAAATATATTGGGTTTTTTATATTTTATTTATTATTAATATCATTATAATATGTTGTTATTGTTTATGAAACATTAAAGATAATCATGTATCGAGACAAAATCAGTTGAAAATTCAAAATATCAACAATTTTTAAATCGTTGACATTTTGTTGATAATTTTGCACATAATATATTCAGCCGTGGTAGACGACAGCCAGAAGGCATACCAGGATGCGTTCGAAATCAGCAAGTCAAAGATGCAGCCTACCCACCCAATCAGGCTAGGTCTCGCCCTCAACTTCTCCGTTTTCTATTACGAGATCCTCAACTCTCCAGACAAGGCCTGCCAGCTGGCCAAACAGGTATAATT